AGGGCTATCTTTGGGTGTTTGATCCGTGTCAGAACTCTCCCCGCGAAATTAGAATAGGTACCGATTTTCCATAAATGAATGTCTGTCAGATAAAACAGGTTACTGAATTTCCAAAACACAAGAACAAATCCTAATATACAAGAGATACACTTAGCTAGAATTTTTCATTTGGTATGCATTGTATTTAACGTGCTTAAACCTAACTGTATGCTACACAATACAGATTGAACTCTATTACCTTCGTCTCTTGGACGAATTGACGACCATGGATAACGAGCGTACCGGATTTGTGCCCGCCGTTCAGTTTGAATCGATCCTGTCCGAATTGTGTCCCTCACTCACAAAAGATGAGATACAGGAATTGATCGATAAATACGATCTCCGAAAGGACAACCAGTAAGTTCAAACAAACCATTTATTACAGAAGTTCGGCAAATTTTGTTACTTATCAACTCCTGGTTACAAGACATTTAACTCGTTCTTACTAAGCGGGAACAAACAGCTTCTGGTGTGGTAAATCGATCAGCAAAACTCGATGGATGCTTTAATGACAAAATTTTACAAGCAACGTAAAATGAGCCACGAATTAAAAACAAAATAATATCTGCTGGTCCCACATAATTGTTAGACGCATACATATACATATACGTAGGTAAGCACGATTGTTTAGAACCAAAGAAATATATATATATACCGAAATATTCGTCCACATTGGATCACAGCAGATCTACCGACAACATCCTGCACCTTTTATCAATCGTATGAGCTGATGGGCTGTTTGTCAGTTGTTACGCGATATCAAATAGAACAAAGATGCACCCATTTTCACATTGTGTTCAGGGGTTACCAATTGACGCATTCGCGGTAAACAAGAAATACCACATAGGACACCAAAGTGCTTGCGAATAAGCTCTTCTTAAAGATACTTCTGCTCAATCAAATAGATTGTGGTTACGGTAAGCAAATAAGAAATTAAGTTATCCCGGGGGTGGGAAGGTAACTTCATTCCATATTAAACTTTGAAGCTAAAACACCGAAAATGCCATAGACACGGGGTCCTGAAAGGACCTGTTCGTAGGAAGTCAAGTCCCTTTCGGGTGCACCACCAGCTGCCAGATGCTCAACGGATAAGAAGGGGAGACGATGAATTGCACTATGAGTGCAGACTTTTACTGCCATAGACAAATCCGGGAAACATAAAGAAATATGAAGCGTTGTATACACTTCTGTAAGTGTTTTTGGTTGCAACGCGGAAGGATAATACATTTAGTTCATATGGGGCCGAAAGGGTGATAGGCATTACCATTCTAATCGCGTTTTGATGTTATAACGTCTCATGAGAAGCGTTTTCCGTTTCACTTTTCATGCAAAGAAAATTTAAGTATCTTAACTTTACCAGTGCACGAGATCAAGCACTCGATGGGATTCAAACCCAAACATGGATATCGCCCACGCTTCTTGTATAGTGTACTGAACTTTTCACAATTTCAAATTGAGATTTAAGTTGAACAATTATAACCAACAAATTAATCACTGAAACACTACTGTGTAACTAACTTTATTACTTTATCAATTCGAAAGTAAGCATGATTCACATGGTGAACTCGTCGTTACTGCCACTTTCTTTTGTGAACAGTGTCTGTTATTTGGCCATGCTCAAACCGTTTGCACGAAAATGGGAACAAGCGGAAGCACATGCAACTTGGTTACGGGCACGAGAGAAGCGTACAGCCCCAGACTATCACGTGCAAGGCACTCTGAATTTGGCCGATTGGGTTCCCAAATTAGGACTCAAAAAACGGGTAATTTCACGATTTGCTCTTGCATGCTCGGTGTTATTCCGAATGATATTAACGCCACTGATTTGAAAAGAAGTACATGTTCATAGGTGAAAACTAATGAAATTGGAGAGAAGGTAGGCTGCATCTCGAATGACTTCGAAATCCATACTCCTGCATGGTGTAATCGCAGTCTAACAAATCAATTTGAAGCATCTGTGTAGTTTAACATATTGATATCGCTGAGGGCGATGAAGAAACAGTAATGAACGAACTTTTCGATATTGCCCCATCCGTTCCGCAGAATCTATGGTCATCATGTAGCATGTGGTATTGGCCAGTCCCACTTTCCATCCCCGTTCATCTCAGTACTAGTAATCAAGATGACTAAACAAACGAATACATGTCTAAGTTCAATACGGTTTTCAACAGACGGATAAACGTTTTGATGCAGCATTGGAATACAGTCTGCCGTGGTTAGCTCAAATGCAACAAACCTTAACCATTTGGTCCTGAGTGTGACCTATGAATGTACACAGCTGACAGAACAATTCCTGCTCAGCAATCATTTCATGCATCTCGAAACGAAAATGCATCAATCAGGGAACAGTGTTTCACAGGACAGATAAAATAAAAAAGGACCACATGCGGTGAAAGATACTCACAGATGATA